GGCAGACTATAAATAACATAAATAAGGAAAATAAAAAAGTCTAATTACCTTTGGACTCATATTTCAATAAAGCAAATCTGAAGTTTAAGCAGTAAAAATTAACATCAGATAATTAAGCATGTCTGGAAATTGCTGAGAACTGCAGTTCTCTGTAGTCTCTCTTTTTTTGGTCACACATGTGGGAAAACAAATTATTTCCTTGGTGTTTATGTCCCCTGAAAGCTATTACTGCAGTTATTAATGCATTTCCTAGAATGATGTACAAGATCACCATCTAGTGGTGGAAGAAGAGAATCCCTGTAGTAACCATGTTAAATGGAATGAATCATTGCAACTGCATGCAAAGCTGGGTATAATTTTTGATCTTTAATGCTCCTGAGATGCAAAGTATTTGGAGCTATTATCATGGTGCTTATCATTGAAGATGGGGTGACAGCGCTGTTGGGATGTATGTTGTTGGTCTGCTATAAATAACGCCAGAATCCCATCTTGCAATTAACGAACTATGTGACCTTTAGAGCACCAACATTTTAGTGTATGATATTGTATTATACTGTTTTACTCTGTTTTTATTGTTTTAACTCTGGCTTTCATGCCCTATTGTTAGCCGCCCTGAGCCTTTCGGGAGGGCGGGATATAAATCCAAAAATAAAATAAAAAATAAATAAATAAACTATCTTGGGCTGAAGCAACGCTGTTGACATTTCTTTTAGATACTTTGGTCTATTTTGCTCCCAAACTAAAGTAGTGGGCTTGGAGCCTTCTCACCAGTTAGCCTGATGGCTTTGTTTCCTTCTCAACGGGTAATTAAATTATTTTTCTGCTCTGCTAGTATACTGATCAGCATCTTATATGTGCTTTGTATATTCTGAGTAAATGCTGGGTTTTGGTTGCAGTGTGCTGCCTTGTAGTTGTCAACTGCAGCACTGTGATGAAACTAAACTAACAGCTTAGATCTCACATTGTGGTAAACTGTAGTTTGCCCCTTCATGTCTGAACCTTGGACTTCCTGTTCCCTCCTTCTCTCGTGCCCTCTAGTTTACTTCCATGTTTGTACAAACCTATCAGCTTGTCACTGCTTCCAGGCTCTGAAATCAATATGGTTTGTGGAAAACAGAGATGGAGACACACTTCCACTTGTTGCTGGCAGGCAAGCAAACTACGTTTTTTGTGACCAAACATTCAAGGGAAAGAATTGGACTGTGCAGTGACTGAACAGAGGAGGGACAGTGTAATGTGAAGTTTTGGTTTGCTTTTATTTATATTCTGGCTTTCCTCTCATCAGTGGCAGCTTAAGGCATCTTGCAAGTAAGGCATCAAATGGCATAGTTCAAAAAAGATTGAGAGCCATACAGTGTGTGTGGGGAAAACGCTCCTGAAATATTTTGGGATAATCCACATTTTTAATGTCTGGACTGAGTCTATAGCATGGAATTTATTTTTCCTCTTAGTAGAGGCTGTTCACATAATAACCACTCCTGAGCCTGACTTGCCGTCTGTCCATGGTTTTTAAGCTGATGCTTTGCCAAAGGGGCTTCTTCTGCAGTATTTTGAATTTGGCACCTTTCCAGGCCTTACGCCAAGTATCTTTCCCATTCTTCCTGTCTCTGGCAGAATGGCGCGTTTGGATCCCTCCCAAATGCTGTGTGGCTGAATGATGTCATAGTAAATCCATTTTGATTAGGAATCCACAAGCAAATAAACCAGCCAGGCCCATTGCTAACCTTATGGCGAGTGGAAGGGTAGAGTGTAGCAGAACGCTCCGTAAACAACCTCGGTGGCATGAGGTCAGCATACAGCTTAGAGAAAAGGAAATGGATCCTTATGTAATTAACGTTTGGCTTCCTTATTATGAATGGAATGACAGAAAGCTGGCATCGCTTCTGAGCAGCTAGGTTAAGCGCCAAATCCTCTTGAGCCCCTTCCATTTCTGAAAACATTTTAGTTCTTCTATACACATAATACAGAAGTGGTTCTGGCATTCCAAAACAAGACCTTTGAAAGGGTTTAGGATTATTTGATGTGTTTTATTAATTCTGCTCATATCAGACTTGTGGGGTAACATATGGTGAGAACAGAAGAGCCAGTGGTTTCCCCTCCCCCCAGTGATGTTGAATGTATTGGGTGTGTGTGTGTGTTAATGCAGTTTCCTCTGTCCCTATCCTGTATCATCACTGGTTTTATGTTCTTCATTCTTAACAATTGCCATACAGCATTTCTGAATGTGTCACTGAATGGACTGAACTAGAAGTACCTGTACCGTTGTGATATCCTTCTAAGCTTTGGCTTGAGTAATGTTTTCAGGGGTGCAAGGATTTCTACCCATGGAACGCAATCTTCCTCCCACAGTAGTTTGAAATGGACCCTAACATCCTGGTCCTGGGAGAGAAGAGGCAGGAAAATCACATTCTGTGGGTGGAAATCTTTACACCTCCCCCTTGGAAACATTAGATTGGATCTAAGCCATTAATACATGTTGTAAGGCTCCCCGTGCAAGGTGGCTTCCTTCCAGATAGTTTATTCATAGCTTTATTATTCAGATTTTAAGATCACCATGGACCCTCAAAGTTTGCTAGGCCAATGGTGCATAGTCCTTATGGTCATAGACCAGAGCAGATATGACTCCCCTGCCAGCATTGTGATAGAAGTACACACTGAAAGAGGCAAAGCTGAAGGAGAAAACGTAGGACAGCAGAAAGCGAGTAAGAGAGTGAAGTCCAGGCCATCAGTAGGGAAACCTGGAAACACTTATGGCTGAATGTAGTGATAGGCTTTTACTAGTTATTTTTCAGTTGTGAAAGTGAGCAGTTAGTGGCCATGTGCTGCTGATGCTCAGGTTGCAGAGTAAACTGCAGGCAGTTGATACTTTATAGGGCTACAGGCTGAAGGGCTTGAGGCCAGTTTCTTAGTTGAGTTGACTGGGCTAGGGAAAAGTTCTTCTGTGCATTGCCTTCCTTAATCTGGCCCTTCTAATACTCATGCATATTTCTGATTCCTGAGCACCCCTCCCATCTCTGCCGCTAGAAAAATTGGAAGGCCCACTTTCAAGATTTCCTACTGTAGCCTTCCTTCAGACAAGTTTGGATATGGCTTGATTACCAAGTAGCATTCCTGGGTATTTATTGGGATTTCTGCATTCTCCCTGCTTCACAGGTTCCTCTCCTCACTCCCAGGTAGTGAGCTGCTTATATTAGATGAGAAACCTAATACCAGACAATGAGGTTGCATCTGTGTCCAGAACCCAACTTTGCCATGTTTTGTTCTGTTAACTTTTTGCCCCGGAGTCATGATTTAATGTTATGAGCAGCACATTGGTGGTCTCCTTGTGGCATCATCTTGGGGAAATCAGGGTGTGTTTCTTTCTTGGCCTGTCTCAAAGAGCGGAAAACGAAGTAGTAGTTCAGACTCTAGTTTTGTCAGGAAATAAAACTCTATTTGTAACAAGCTTCTGTCTGTAAGAAGAAGATGAAAAATTGTAAAGTCAATCCAAACAGCTAGCTCCAGTAAAAAAAGGTAAGAAAAGTAATAAAGGAGAAAATTATAGCCAAAGGCTGGAGGGCAAAATAGCAATAAAAATATCCGACTACTCCCATTTCCATACCAGTCAGTTAGAGCAGGCTGGGTGGTTTATCAGAGTAAGTATAAAAACACTAAAAGAAAAATATCTTCACAGAAGATACACAGAGCTGCTGAAGCAGCTATCTTAAAAGAAAACAAACAGCCCCCTGAGATTCATCAGAGAAAGAGATATAACAGAAAACCAGAAGCCCAGCTCAACTGCAAGGAAATGGAGAAGGGTAACATGATGTTGCCCTGACCTGGAGAGCCCAGGCTAGCCTGATCTGGTCGGATCTCGGAAGCTAAGCCAGGGTCAGCCCTAGTTAGCACTCAGGTGGTAGGCCACCCAGGAAGTGCAGGGATTCTACGCAAGGGCAGGCCTCTGGATGTGTTTTGCCTTGAAAGCTCTATGATGTAACAAGCTGCAATTGGACAGCAAAAACAAACAAACAAGATGTTGCAGTCTATATGATAAAGTTTGATGGGTGGGTGTGGATAACAGCAAATATATGTTGAAGTTATCTTTTCTTTGGCTTGGATGCCTGGTGTGTGTCTTTTGCTTGCCACTGAAGCCTTCTTTCAAAGCAGTCTTTCTGAGAACTGCATGACATTTAGAGACTGTGATAATAAAGGAGCCTTCTTGTTCTTATTGAACAGGTGTTATGTAGAACATGTGAAGTATTTTACTTACCCTGTTGAAAAGAACAGTATTATAGCTGTACCCCCCAAAAAAACCCTTAAATGAGGGAGGCAGATATGATTGTTCATTCTCTAAGATAACCACAAATGTTGAATCTTACGTCGTATGAAATCACATGTATTTTTAATGGAATGTTTCTTCCATTCCTGCGATATACTTCACAGGCCCTCTGACACTCAACTTCTGGTATTGCAACTTTTCTTGGAACAGTTCATTTGTGTGTGTGTTTCTCTGTGAAGGGATGATGAAAGGGATATTTTTAGGGCTTTTTTTCTTTTCCAAAATCATTTTTGCAGCTTTTTGTACATCAGCTTAAAACCCTTTAGCATGGTCTTTCTCCACCAGTTTGGTGTAGTGGCTAAGTGTGTGGACTCTAATCTGGGAGAACCAGTTTGATTCCCCACTCCTCCACTTGCAGCTGCTGGATGACCTCAGGCAAGCCATAGTTCTGTCAGAGCTGTCCTTGAAAGAGCAGTTTCTGTCAGAGCTCTCTCAGCCCCACCTACCTCACAGGGTGTCTGTTGTGGGGAGGTGAAGGGAAAGGAGTTTGTAAGCCACTCTGAGACTCCAAGTGAAGGGTGGGGTATAAATCCAATCTCCTCCTCCTCCTCCTCATTTGAGAAATGTTCTTTGTAGTTTCAAAACAAGCATGCCTGATGTTAAGGAAACTGTTTTAAAGTTAGCAGGATGTCACACTCTAGTAGTTTGTCTAATACAGTTTCCTCCTTGTTTTTCTTGGCAGATCTGTCTTCAGCAAAGCGGAAGTTTGCCGATTCCTTGAATGATTTTAAATTTCGATGTATAGGTGATGCAGAAACAGATGATGAAATATGTATAGGTAAGTTCATGGCCTTTAGGCCAAGGTGGCCTTGTTCCAAACAGCTGATTTAGTTGTTAAAACCAAAGCGGAATCCATAAATGAAACATGCAAAATATCAAATATGTTGTCCATTTGGTGAATAGAGGAGTACTATTAGCTTCTTCAGAAGGTTCTCAGAAGTGTCTAGTTTTCTCAAGTAGGTGGTCTATGGCTGAAGAGAGGCACTGTTAACTTTTATTTCTCTCCTTTTTCTAAGGAGGTTGATGTCCAGGTTGAGGCCCCCAGTCTGAAAGAGAAGGCTGTAATGTTGTCTATCTCTTGGTAATCATAGCAATGTAAATGTAAGGTAAAGGTTCCCTTGCTCGAAAGCCAGTCGAATCCGACTCTAGGGTTGCGGTGCTCATCTCCGTTTCAAAGCTGAAGAGCCAGAGCCAGCGCAGACATTTCTGTGGTCATGTGGCCGGCATGACTAAACACCAAGGTGCACGGAACGCTGTCACCTAACCACCGAAGCGGTACCTATTTATCTACTTGCAATTTCTTGCTTTCGAACTGCTAGGTTGGCAGGAGCTGGAACTAGAGACAGGAGCTCACTCCGTCTTGCAGCACCTGGGTCTCGAACTGCTGAACTACTGACCTTCCACAGCCTGCAGTTCAGCGTCTTAACCACTTGAGCCACCACAGTAGAATGGAATATACTTCCTGCCTGAAACAATTAGCTGCTGGCTACTAAATAGCATGGCTGCAGAAAGTCCTAGATTGACTCTTGTTTTTCTTTGTGTTTAATGGATTATGTTAGGGGTGTCAGACCTAAGGCCCGTGGGTCAGAAGCGGCCCGTCCAGGGCTTTAATCAGCCCTGTGGCTCTCTTCTCCACCCCCCTCTCACCCCCTCCCATGCCTGTCCTCACCCTTCCGAGGGAGCTCAGGGCTGCTTAACTTCCCAGCTGGCTGGGCCTTGTCTTCGCAGTTTCTCCTCCAGCAGGAAGATCCTCTGGGTTAAAGCACAAAAAAAGCCACAAAGAATATGCGGAATGGATTTTCCTTTAAGGTCTCTAGGCCCAGATAGACTACTCTGGGACTGGAATGGCAGCCCCCAGAGTGGAATGATGGTCCCTGGGAGTAGCAGCTGCATTCTGGGAATGGAATTCCATTCTGGGGGCTATCATTCCAGTCCTAGGGTGCGTTCAGATGGGCTGTTTAGTCCACTTTCAGCTCGCCTCAGAAATGGAATCTGCGCGATCACACAGTCAGCATCTGCCTCCCGTCCCCAGCCATTGCTTTTCAGCTCAAAACTGCTTTAACCCAGAATATTTTGATACCAGGTCCCCAAGTGGTGTTTTTCTGATTCTCTGGTTCCAGCCGCACTTTTCTGACGTCTGATCGCTCCTGTGGTGTCAAGCCACTTCCAGTTTAAACCCCCTCCCCGCTCGAAAGCTGCCCGAGGTTTCTGCTTTTCACCCACCATTTTTTTTAAAGTGTTGGCGGTGTGCGCATAGACGGAGGTCCGCCACTGCGTTATTAAAAACAATGTTTAAACGGTGCCTAGTTTCAGGGTTTAGACAAGTTCGGGAGGCCATTTTCGGGGTAGACATTTAAAGGGAAGTGTTCCTTTAAAGTTTAAAGGGAAGGGTTACAGCAGTCGGGTTGAAGTGGAAATCGCTGTTCTGCGCACGCGCAGAAATTTTAGTTCTACAGATGGCTGCCTGTGCGCATGCCCAAACTGAGAGAAAAAAACAATAAAGCACACTCCCACGTGTGGACGGCAGGAAGCGATGTGGCTGCACAGCGATCCAGAGCAAGGAGGGGAGTGTGATTGCGATTCTCCAGGTTAAAAAAGACTGCATCAGGGCCGGAGCAGTTTAAACCGCTCCCAGTACGCCATCTGACCACACCCCTAGAGTACCCTATCTGGGCCCAGAAATCTTAATGGAAAATCTATTCTGCATTTTCTTTGCAACTTTTTTTGAGCTGCAATGCATTTCAATGGGGTGGAGTTTCGGTTTCCAGTGTTTGTATGCCAGTTAGTCCCAGTGATCCATGGAGTACGGTGGGGCAGCTGTCCGGCATCCCTAACCACAGTTGTGCCTTCTTCCCCACCTGTAGTTTGTGCTGGCATTACTTTCTGCCAGTTCTGGGAGGCATTCTTGGCTTGGGGTGGCTTAGGGAGCCAACAAAGTTTTGCCACTTCCCTAGGATTGCCCCTTTTCCTACCAGGGCAGTGGCTTGCTTTGCACTGTTGCCACATTGATCCCCAGATGGGGCACAACACCGTCAGGGCTCTCTGCCAGTACATCCTGATGTTATGCTGACATTGCACCTCATCAGTTTCTTGTGTGCGTTTGTGCCCCCCTGCCGCCAATGTACTGTGGAAATCCCTCACTTTTCTACTGGGAAACTTGGGAGGTATCACCTGCTAAATATTTGCTTCCTCGGGGTGGAGATAGCTAATGACATCAGATAATGCATTTGTTATAACAAGCAAATAGTCAGTAATTCAGAGAAGTGTTGGATAAAGCTAAGATAGGGCTGCCAACCTGCAGGTGGGGGCTGGAGTTCTCCCAAAATTATGACTGGTCACTGGACTGAAGAGATGAGTTCCCATGGAGGAAATGGCAGCTTCGGAGGGTGGACTCTGTGGCATCACCACATCCCTGCTGGGCCCCCTCCCCTCCCCAAACTCTGCCCTCCCCAGGCTTCACCACCAAACCTCCAGGAATTTCACAACCAGAGTTGGCAACCCTAATCTAAACACAGGTTGGATGGAAACAGTGCAGACATTTAAGAAGGAAAAAATCCCTTGATCTTACAGTCTAAAAATCTTGCGCATGTTGCATGAGAAACTTGAGAAATTTGAAAATTCTTATCAGCTGGCCACAGGAAGGAGACTTGTTAACTCAACCCTTCTCCTCCCTAACAAGTGCCAATATTAAACAAAAACAGACAAACACAAAACCGCCTACTACCATATGAGTATTATTTTTCTTTTTAAATGAATGTAACCAACAGTGCGGACTTAAGGACAGTTACACTTTTCTAAGCCCATTGACTCCCATAAGCTTAGAACCCTGTAATTCTGCTTTTGGCTCTTTATGCATGCACAGCTTACTTCTGATTGTCACTGAAGTCAAGTTGGTTGGGGTTTGCTTTGAATGCTATACCTTCACTCTACACCTTTTCTCTCTCTCTGGTTTTCTATTGGGAATCAAGGAGTATAAATTCTGCATACCGATGAGAGAATCCGGATACTGTCATGGGGTTGGTTTCTCCTGATTGGTCAGTTCTCACTAGGCCTGTCTTTTGAAATAGGAGATTCTTCAAGCTGAATTTACTGTGGGATCATCATTAGTGGTTCCCTGCCTTTATCGGTGTACAAGCTCCACCATTGGTTAGGTTTTCCATCTGTACAATTTTGGTTTTTTAAAAGGAGAGTTTAGTCTAGTGTTAGGAGTTTAACTAATCTTGGATGGTTGGAGAAAAAAATCACTGGCAGGGAATGCTTTAAAAGTTTGGCGAGAGGTAGTGTGTGTGCACGTGCAGTTAAAAGTTTTTAAAGATGTGCACCCCCAGGAGGAGACGCCAGCCACTTTTTCAGAGAGACAGGTTCATGAGGAGGGAGGTGGAGACGTTAGTGCTTTGCAGCCTGAGCTCCCCCCTCTCCACATTATTTGGAAATTAAATTACATGCAAAGGGGAAAAACTGGATGTTGAGATGGATCACACTTTTTTTAACAGGCTGCTGCTGCCCCAAAGCAGGCTCCACAGCATCATCCTCACATTTGAAATGTTTGTGATCAGAGTAAATTTAAAAGAAAACCATATATTTCCCCCCAAAAACCCAACTTGCCTGAATGGGGAATCAAACCAACAACCTTACAGTTAATAGCAGTGGATTCTAACCAACTGTTCCTGTAAACAAGTCAGACAAAGGCAATGACTTTCCTAATCTCCTATTTCAAAAGACATGCCCAGCACAAAACTGACCAATAAGGAGAGACCAATAGGCCTCTAAGGGGAAGGGGGAGGAAAAGTCCAAGGGAATGTGTATGCGTTTAGATTACCTTCGGCTTGAAAATAAGCCAAGGGGGGGAAATTGTCACAAAAGCAGTCTGAGAAAAGCCAGGGAAACAGCAGATTGAAAGTGGGCTCAGCGCTGAAAGGGGGGGGGTCAATTTAGAAAGAAAAAACTTGACTGGAATGCACAGGAGAATGCAGAAAGGGAAAAACCCCTGATGGTGATGCACAGTGAAAGTGAGGGCAATGGACGTGCATAAAAAGGGCCTTGATTTGCACTGCTAAGGTAGCATTTATTTTTTTTTTGCTGATTTTGGGGAGAAAGTTGTTCAGCTCCTAGAAAGACTAACATTCTTTAATACAGTTTAATTCAATTTAAAAAGAAAGAATAACATTCTTGGATTAATCAACCTTATGACTCTCTGTCTTTTCCAGCAAAATCCCTACAAGAGTTTGCTGCTGTCCTTAGAAATCTGGAAGATGAGCGCATGCGCATGGTATGGGCTTAAGTATGATCTGTTCAAAAATAGTGGAAAGGGAATTGGTGATGAGTTGTCAAGGGGTTAGAGCACTGGATACGGGCAATCTTTGGAATAGCTGACGTTTCTGCTGGTGTTTTCTAGGTGAAAATAACTGGTGACATAAAATCTTATTTTGAGCCATCTCTCCTTGGCCTAGGCAACTTTTGGATCAGTACTGAGCTATGCACAGAAATGAGGGTTGTATTTTGCCTACATTGTGTGATGGTGGAGACTTTGATACATGCTGGCGATGAGAAGAAGATTGAGAAGAATTTCTGTGCCTTTTCTTGCCTTCTTTGGCCAGTAGCCTTGGTCTGGTTCAAGAGCCAGAATTGTCGGCTTTTGTGCCTTGGAGAATAGCAATATTCATCCTCTGGGAGTAAGTCTTGGCAGCACAACAGGGACAGCAAACCACGATGAACTGCCTGCCATTGAATCCAGTTGGTCTCGCACTTGGAGAACAAAGGCCCAATTATGCGCTACAGCTTGTTTGTACATTTTTGCTCTCAGTTGGAATAAAGTTTCCCTGATAGCATCAAATGTAGAAGTTGTTGTAGAGTTGGGTCAAATATGCTGATTGTGTCCCCATTTCCAGCTCTGTGGATACTTACTGTAACCCAGCAGTAGACAGATGCCACTGCAGCCTCCCTGTGCACAAACAGCTATTTCATGTAGGATGATTTTCTCTCTCATTTACTCACACACCCCTGCTAAAGGCAAAACCCATTTCCCCCCTTTGGCTGTTGTGATTCTCAGCCACCTCTGGCTCAGCTCAGCAGAAACTGTGTTGCATAGAGTAGGGACAGTATGTCCATCAAATGTTTAGACCGCCAGTTTGGTGTAGTGGTTAAGTGCTCTAATCTGGGAGAACCGGGTTTGATTCCCCACTCTTCCACTTGCACCTGGCTGGATGAACTTGGGCAAGCCGTAGTTCTGGCACAGCTGTTCTTGAAAAAGAGCAGTTTCTGTCAAGAGCTCTCTCAGCCCCACCTACCTCACAGTGTGCCTGTTGTGGGGAGGGGAAGGGAAAGGAGTTTGTAAGCCGCTCTGAGACTCCCAAGTAAAGGGAGGGGTATAAATCCAATCTCTTCTTCTTCTTCTTCTCCTCTGTGCAAGTTATGATCTGTGTTGCTTGTGAGCAGGCTAGCTCTTCCTGTCTTTGCAAACTTACTACCAGTGTTTAATGCAGGGTTTAAGTAGATTAATTTTAAAGCTGCGGTCATTAGTCTTATAGCGGTTGGCACAAAAGGAACAGTAAAGTGTGAATAGTTCAATATTAATTTGAGGATCCCTTAAACCAGTTTAGGCTGAGGGTGTTAAATTTCAATCCTCTGCGAAACCACTCATCACAGCCAAGAGCATGGAATTCCATAGAGTAATTGGGCAGTTTGCAGATGCCTTCACAGAAGTATCAAAGGAAACAAATATTTTTCCCCTTGCATAAAAGGGGAAAATGCATATTTGTTTCCTTTGATACTTCTGGCCAGGAGGTCAGTCAGAAATGAGTTTATTTTATTATGTAGTAAGCCAGCATTAGAATTGTCTGTGTTTCAGGGTAGTAGTCCTGTAAACCCAAAAGCTGGCACATGGCTAATGCATCTTTGAGTTCTTTTTCCAAAACACTTTTTCCAAAACACTTTTTCCTGTGCTGCGCTGGAACTCTCTCCTTTTTGAAAGACCAATATGTTATTTGTTATGGGGACTTGTTACTGGCCAGAAAAATAGGGGCTACGTGTCAACAGCTTGGGGGATGGATGCAGTATTAGCATGTAGGACTCGAAGGTGAAGCCTTCTAAGATGCCCTCTTCCCTCCCTCACGGGCAGGATTTTCCCTTCTGTCTTCTTTCTTGTTAAGCAGCCCCTTTATCTATTTCCTTATTTGTTTGACTATGGCTCTGTGTGTGTGTGTGTGTGTGTGTGTGTATGTATAGATGCGGGCTCAGCCCATGGAACTGAGGGAAGCAACAAAATCACCTTCTTATATTCTGTTTTTGAAATGGCATGAGAGGCTTTTGGCAGTGCAAAATAAACAAAACGTTTTATTTAACTTGGAGGAGAAAAGGTCAGGTGGAATCAGATGTAGGATGTATGAAGTGAGCAAACTGAAAAACAGAGGTAACTTTGTATTCATGCAAACACCAAGATAATTTGTTGCCAGCAAGTAAATGTTTCTGCTATTCAACAAGGTATTTAATACTTTGAGGAGAGAGACTTTCTTTTCAGTTTCTGCTTAAACACTCATTGGCTGCGGTCACATGGAGCATTAGGCACGCTAGAGAGACGGAAGATAGGCGGACTTTCCGGGTGCGATCTCACCGCCACATCTGGGAAGCGTAGAGCTCCTGTGGCTCACCCGAGGCTTCACTCCGAAGATGCGCGGTAAAAAACTAGTACCTCGGAGGTACTAGTTTTCGGAACCTGCGGGGCAAGGGTGGGCGCGTGATCGCGTTTCCGGTGGAATCCCATGGCATCCGGCGCCCACCCATGTCCCCTCGCAAAAAGGTTCTTTTGTTTTCAAAGTGTCCTCGGGATGTGCACAAGCACCCAACGGGTCATGCGCATACGTCGGTGTACAGAAAACCCCCACCCATTTGCCACAGCGCAGTGCTTCTTTGCCGCGCTGCAGGATTGTGGTGTGATCGGCACCTCCCCCCTACCACGGGACTTCCACAGGATGTCTGCTCGTGCAACGACGCGTTATTTTGCCCCGGGGCACACAGCCACGCTCCCCCCCCCGCATTTTCCTGCCCGTGTGACCGCAGCCAATCATAGGTTTCTGAGTTTCACTGACATGTAAAGTTTAGAGGGCAGGAACATACAACCAAGTTCCCAGAATCCTTCTTTATACATAGACCATAGATCACTCCTCTTTACTAGAAGCTAGTTCCTTTTTTTGGCTTGAATGAAGATCCTTCGTGATCCATTCACTCTCTTAGCCTCCTTCCCAGTCCAAGTGATATTTCCTGGGGAAAGGTCTGCATTATTCAGACAAAATTATACCGGTAATTGAATGAGGTGTTTGTGTGTGAGAGAAAATGCTTAGTACTGGAAAGATGGATATTCATCTTTTTTCCTTCTTCTTCTGCCAGATTGAGAATGCTGGTGAGGTCTTGATCACACCTCTGGAGAAATTCCGGAAGGAGCAAATTGGGGCTGCTAAGGTAGGTAGAAGAACTGGAGAATGCTTATTTTCAACTCTTCTCTACCAGGGAGATTAGAAAGTCACATTTGACACATTATGTTGGGTGTTTGGAAGCACTGGACACTGTATTTGGGTCACTTGGGTTTTTTGGTGCTTCTTTTTGAAGACTTTCTGACCATTTGTACACATATTGGATAATATACTCTCAATGCACTATAACAATTGTTTGCAACTGGATTTTCCTGTGAGAGTGCGCTATCTAGTGATGTGTGAAAGCAGCCTACAAAAGCTCTGCTTGTTCTCATTTGTAAGTGCTCAACTAAATGAAAACTGAGAGAGGCATCATCTGAGGCAGTCTGGCTGAGGTGTGGTTGCTTTGCCACAAGTGGCGATTCCCTCCTGTCCCTGTATCAATTGAAAGTGACAAGCAGATACTGTCTTTATTTGCTCTCTCTGTGGTCACATAAGCCAAGTCCGACTGGAAATGGTGCCATGATGCACTGCCTGCACGACTGTCTGGGAAAGGGCACTGGTGCAGCAGCTAAGCTGGGAAAAGGGCTGTAAATTACTGCAAATAACAAACAAAAATATTTTCCCCTCTGGGCTTTCCCACTCCTTAAAACCCTTCTCCTCCGTTTTAATACTTTAGAGAGTGAAACTTCATGGCAACGTTAAGTTTTTCTTAGCTGTTCTGAGGCCTTGTATCTTTCTCCTTGTCTTGCTTTGTTACTATAACAACTAGTTGCTGCTGGTAAGAACTAGGGATTCTTGCCAACTCCCCCCTCCCCAGACTTTCTTCTTATAAAAGAGAGGCTTCTTGTAAACTCTTTATTGCCGAGCTTCTGATCTTGGTGTTTGAATTAAAATAGCACCTAAAACTGACACCAAGCTGAATTCTAGTTGTGCAAGGCAGTGGCTTTAGTCTATTTTTACAGTGAGGGCCGTAACCAAAACACGTTTGGTAGATTGTATATCAAAAGGTATAGCCCCTTTTATTTACTCCCCACAATGGTTTTACAGAATAATTAGCTACAAAAAAAGATCCCCCCCCCAACACACACAAAACCAGGTGGCTTATTTAGCCTTGAATAGATGTTAAAGAGTGGCATGTGAATACCTGGGTGACGAGACACAGTGTCTCAGTTCAGACCTGGTATTCCTGGGCCTTCAAGACATAGTTTGGAAGTCAGGAACATGCTGCAGTTCTTCCACCTTGACGCATGCACTCCAGTCCCATCCGTGACTTCCTGGTTAAGGCTAGCCATACAGTTTCATTATGTCCAAAGTGGCAAAACTATAGCTGGACTTGCTATCTAAATCAGAATTGGACACCATGGGCTTGGATATGATGCAGTGTGCTGAACTGGAAGGAGTACAATTTTGTCACCTCCCCTCCTCCTGTAGCCTGAAGTGTCCCACAAAATTCTGGTCTTGGCCTTCTGGAACAGCATTTTGGTTGTAGTAGTTAGCAAGCTGGACTAGGATTTGAAGAGTCAGGTTTGGATCCCCAGTTTGCCACAAATGGGTAACTTTGGGCCATTCACTGTGTCTCAGGGTTGTTGTGAAGATAAAATCGAGGCAAGGATAATGATGCAAGCTGCTTTGGGCCCCCTTTGGAGAGAAAGGCAAGGGTATACATTAAATAAATAAATAATTTGGGGTACATTTTGGGCTGCAGTGGGAGGTGGGAGCCAAGAAAGTCCTGCTGTGTGGGTGGAAATACTGCACTGGATTCGAGCCCATTATTTGAACTGGGTTTTCAGTTGTGGCCAGGATGGCAAATGTCGATCACAGGTTATCAGTTTTGAACACAATGGCATGCTACAGCTTACCTGTACCAGGAAGTCAAGAACAGACAGAATGAGAGGGAAGAGGGAGAGGAGGGAATGTGTACACTCCAAATCTTGGATCCAGTGGCGAAGTTATGATTTCAAGGAAGTGCTGATGTGTCAGTAAAGAAGCTGATTTCTCTTCTTGGACCAGCTTCTTTTGATATAGCTGTGGAAAACTTTCTAATTCACCAGTTCATAAGTTGCTGACAGTTTATCCCCCCAAATATGTGGTGAGGTATTCAGACAGCATCTGAATTCTGATTATACTACACATGGTGACAAGAACTTTTGTACTTTAAATGATACATCGTACATTCTTTGTCTTACTTGGAGGCTGTTTACCTATGTAGAAATGGATAATATTTGACTTTGCCCTGACACAAAGTTGGCATAGCTCACTTCTGCCATTACCGAAGGTAAAGAAAAATTCTGAAGAACTGCTGCAGTGCAATCATTCATAAAAGCTTGTATGTATATGATTTCATTTCATTTCCTTTTCTTTTATTTCTTTTGTTTTGGTCAGGAAGCTAAGAAGAAGTATGATAAGGAGACAGAGAAATATTGTGGTGTGTTAGAAAAGCACTTAAACCTGTCTTCTAAGAAAAAAGAATCCCAGCTTCAAGAGGTGAGAGTTATTCCTTGTTTTCTTTTTATCACACTGTCCTGTGACAGTTTTCACAAATTTGTTTGTGCATCTCAAGGCACAGGATGCCGTGAACTGTGTGCAGTTCCTCTGAAATCACCAGAGCAATTCTAAGGAAATTATTTTTAGCTTGAGGCTTCATGGTATTGAAAAAGAGAACGAAGATTTATCATACCCTGAGGAGACACAACCGTTAGGTAATGGATAAATTAGTGGTTGAAATAAGACGTGTTAATCTGTTTGTATAATTGGTCATCTTAGGCTTTTTCCTCACACAGTTCCATTAGGTTCAGACACATTTAAAAAGGAGACAATGGGATGAATACAAATCAAGGTAAAAAATAAATATGATAAACAACTGTCACAAAAATTGTAAAAATGTCCCCCCCTCCCATAATCATATCCTTGGGAATGGTCTCTAATCCTCCCCCCCCCCCGAGGGTTTGTGCATTACTTTTATTATGTTTGTACTTCTAGAAACAGCATGTTTGTGGTGTGTTTTCCACACAACCACTGTAGTGTGTAACATGCTGGTCATCACTTGTTTTATTTCTCATAATATTGCATATGATGAGGATGAGCCTGCTTACATAACAACCTACAGAGCCTATTTCAAGCAGCCTGTCTGTCATAAAAGCAATCTGCAGTCTGACCTGTTTAACAAATCCTATGTTTCATCTTACAGAATGTTGAAGTAGGAAGATGTTACAGAAAATGCTTTTATGCCAGTGAAAAAGAGGCTTTCCTAAACTTTTGAACCCATAGCAGATAACAGGTCTAAAAGCATCACACTGTAAAACCTGTGGTGACATTATGACAGGGAGCACTATAGTTTGTATTGCTCTTATGGCAGGGAGAACTCTGATTACTGATGGACTGGTGTGAAGTTCACATTCCATCTTTGGTGGGAAGGAAATAAGGGTCATTTTGCTGGAATGAAAATCTCCCCAGGGGATCTTGAAAAAGAGGAACACCGTTGGGGCAGGTTAAGGATCGGAAAGGTGGCTGGGTCAAAGACACAAAAGGTATGGAAGCTATGGAACAGAAAGCCTAGATGCAAGGTAGCTGAAGAAGAAGGGAAGCAAAATGAAGGGAAGGGAAGTAGAAAGAGGCTGAAGGCTGAAGAAAAATTAGACTGTGGGATGGAGATCTCTAAATCTAGACAACAGTGATCTCCTTGCCTCTCGGAATTTTGCCAGCTGTTAATTCTATTTGGGCAATCCTAAGGGAGTAGTAAGGGCAAAGAGGCCGTGTTGAATTTCTCGAATTGATTTGACCATGACAGGCCAGTTCTTTTGCAGTAGGGCATCTGGTGCCACCTTGTGGACATCTTTCTTATTTAACTTTGCTTCTGGATATTTTTAGGAAGAAATATTTTGACGTATTTAGGAAGTTAATGTTTCTTGATGCAGTCAGTCCAGTATTCAGTCATTAAGCATATCTGTCTCCAAATGTGCTGACCTCTTGTGAGTTTCCACAGTATTTTTTGGACTGACAAATGCAATTCTGCTGCAAAGCCTTTATGACATCTTTGGATGCCTGGCACTTTGGTTAGACGCTGAAATTTGGAACAAGGCATCTAAACTATGTGTCCTTTAAATGGAAGCAAAAGGCCACATGTTCTCAGGCATGAAATATCTACAGTTTTAGGTATTGAGCTAATATTTCAGAAGGGGAAGCATGACAAATGTATATGGAGTGGTTTGCTGTTTGTGGTAATTTTAGAAGATTGGATGCTATGCTTCATTAATAACACACAGCTGCATCATGGGCATCTGGCTCAGCCACAAAAATAGTTCATGTATAGACTATTGCACTGGCTTGCTACTTGTGTCCAAACATCTGGGAGTTTAGAATGGCCACATACACAGCATCTATAGTAATAAAAGTGGGTGGGTGGTTTTTGTTTGTTTAGTTTCTAGCAAGGCCGCTAATATATCACATTTCCCATTTTTCACTGACAGTACTCCATAGATTCTATGCTGGTCTCCTCCAGCCACGCTGAATTTCACATGCTCCTGAAAATTAATCTAGAGTTTCTGTTGAATTTGAAAAAATGATTTCTGGTGATGGGTAAACCCATGACTTGAATCATAATTGGCCCACCAATTCTGAAAAGCATCTTGCAAATGCTTGAAAAAAAAATCTTCTTAAAAATACCAACTCATCCCTCCCCCAATCTTTTGCATGCACATTATCATTATGCCATTTAGGAAGTGTAGTGCAGGTGTGAAGGAAAGCAATGCACTGCAAAGATTACAAAAGTCAGCTTTTTTAAAATCACCAGAGCAGCCCTTCTGCAGGTTTGGTTGCAGACTTCCCAGATTCGATGAACCTTGTGGCACACAAAATCCTGGGATCTAGTAGCATGCCTCTTAATGTACATTTAAGGGGAAAAAAAGAATAACGACAGAGGAGTATGTGACTTACTCTAACCTAGTGGTTTTCAGGCTTTCAACCTTCAGGGAATCATTTCCCCATTTATTTATCTCCCAATTGACTTCTTTGTGTGTAGTGGGTGTACTGTAGAATGTATACTGCAAAAGATTCTGAGGAGTGTCCTAGGGCATACACACTGTGTTCATTTAAGGGGTTTGCCACGACTTTTGGGTATAACTGTGGTTATGACATAGAACACACGCATCACAATTCTGTGGTGCTGCATTGCAGGGGGATATGGGAAATAGTGGTTACTGTCTATCAGGGAAGCGTATCTTCAATTATTGACCTCACTGAGAAGCCCCTGCGAAGCTTTTAGGAAATCTCAGGGTTTCTTGGAACCATATGAAATCCATTGTTCTATTTTCTCTCGTGGGGAAGCTGATGGTGCAGTCAGAAATGGGCAATGATCTTTGAGAACCTGATATGTTATCAGCATTTATGGAAGTTTCTGTAAAAATAAATGGACAAATGAAGCCATATTTTAGTACCTAATCTGTATCTTTAATTCCTGTGATAAATGACAGGCAGACAACCAGGTTGACCTGGTTCGGCAGCATTTCTACGAAGTCTCTCTGGAATATGTTTTCAAAGTACAGGAAGTTCAGGAGAGGAAGATGTTTGAATTTGTGGAACCTGTAAGTAAACATTCACAGCTTACAAAGCATTGCTACTGTTTTGTGATCTATTGTGTAATATAGAAGGAAATGCTGAGAAGATGTCTTTTGTTCCTGGTTTGCAGGTTACACACAAAAAAAATTGGCCTACCAATTGTCTCATGGGTGAAAGTCAGTTTTGTCCTACTCAATCAGTTTCCAGTCACTAGTAGATTATTAGTGTATTTTTGGAAATGGTTTATTAATTGCATGTTGTTTATTTATTACATACTAGGAAAAAGGCCCGTTGTGGAAATAAATACAACGGCCTCTAAAAAGAGGCTCTGGGTGGGTGCCTTGGACACTCAGTGTCAATTTGCTGTGGCGACCTCAGCAGGGTATAATAACACTGAGTCCACCATTTTCTCCAGAGGAACTGATCTCTGCTACCTAAAGAACAGTTGTAATTTTGAGTGATCTCCAGCCCTCACCTGGAGATTGGCAATGATGGTTCCCCAGAAGGGAATAGTTGGTTTGGAGGGTGGAGTCCGAGGTCCCACGCCTCCTGAAGCCTCACCCTCTCCAGGCTCCATCCCTCACATCTCCAGGAATTTCCCATCTGGAGTTGGCAACCCTATCTCCTTCCCAGCCATTTATCAACCTACCTTTATTTCACCCTCACTCTTCAGCTTTCCACCCCCCACACACCTGCAGCCTCTCCCGTGCTCTGAAGCCCTGACTGCTACATCACATTGGCTGTCATACGGGGGCCACCTCAGCAGCATATAAGGATACAGAGCCCACCATTTTCTCCAGGGGAACTGATCTCTGCCATCTGGAGATTGGACATATTTTACCTCAGAACAGCAAACTGTTTAGAATGTTGGAGGCGAGACTCAAGCAATGCAGCCAGTGGATAGGGGCGGATTCTGAGTGATACACCTGGGCGCCAACCAATTCCGGAGCATGTGGAATGTTCTAGAGAAGTGCCACCACCATTCGGCTTTTATATATAAAGGAGATATGTTGTATAAATAATTTCCATTACTTATCCTGTGTATGTTAATTTATATTTTTCATTCCTCTGTCGTTTTCCTCAGTTTTCTCTCCAACACAACTCTTGCAATTTCAGTTTGTAAGCCGCTCTGAGACTCCTTTGGGTAGTGAAGGGCGGGGTATAAATCCAATCTCTTCTTCTTCTTCTTCTCCTTGTGGCGCTGCAAGTGAATCCTAATAAAATACTTGGGGGAGTGGGGTTTAAATATGCCAATAACTTAAGACTGTATTTTCTCCCCAAGTCTTCAGAACAGCTGAGTTTGATAGGAATGTCTTGTATGATACACTGTTTCTATAAAATCATCTATCTTTTTATCTTTAGTTTAGGAATAAGGTCCGTTGTGGAAATAAATACAACGAGCTCTAGAAAGAGGCTCTGGGAGACTGCCAAGGCCTTGGGCACTCAGCATCAATTTGTTGTGACGACCTCCTCAAACCCCACCCTCTCCAGGCTCCACCCTTGAAATCCCCAGGACTTTCCAAAGTTGGAGTTGGCAACCCCATCCCCTTCCCAGCTAGCCATCAACCTACTGTTATCTGCCCCTCTGACTGCAGCTGACTTCTGCCCTCCCTCCTGGAGATCAGTTGTAATTCTGAGTGATCTCCACCCCTTGCCTGGAGATTGTCAACCATGGTCCCCCAGGAGAAAATGGCTGGTTTGGAGGGTGGAGTCTATGGCATTGTACCTGTCTGAGGTCCCACCTCTACTCAAACCTCACCCTCTGCAGGCTCCATCCCTCAAATCTCCAGGAATTTTCCACCTGGAGTTGGCAACCCTATCTCCTTCCCAATCTTCAATCTACCTTTCTTTCCCCCTCATTCTTCAGCTTTCCATCTCCCCTCCACCTGCAGCCTCTACCATGCTCTGAAGCCCTTACTGCCACGTCACATTGGCTGTCATGGGAGGGCATCTCAGCAGAGTATAAGGACACAGAGTCCACCATTTTCTTCAGGGCAACTGATCTCTGCCATCTGGAAAGCAGCTGTAATTCTGAGGGCTCTCCAGCCCTCACCTGGAGATTGGCAACAATGGTTTCACAGGAGGAAAAGTAGTCTTTCTCTGCAATGGGGACCAAAGCAGCTTACATCATTCTCCTCTCCCCCTTTTGACTTGCACAAGAACCCTGTGAGGTAGGTTAGTCTGAAAGTCTGTGACTGGTCCAAAATCACCCAGTCAGCTTCTACAGCAAGAACCTGGATCTAGCAGACCCTGCTCTGAAGCACTGACTGCTATGCCTAGGGTAGCCAACCTCCAGGTGGAGCCTGAAGATCACCAGGTATCACAAGAACTCCAGACAACAGATCTCTCCCCCCCGGAGAAAATAACTGCTTTGGAAGGTGGGCTTTATGGCATTCTGTTCAGCTGAGGTCTCTTCCCTCCCCAAACTCTGGCTTCCATAGACTCCACCACAAAATCTCCAGGAATTTCCCAACCTGGAGCTGGCAACCCTAGTCAGGACTGGCCCCAATGAGTTCCTAATAAAGGCCTGCAAAGGGTTTCCTTCCTTTGTATGAACCAAGCTTATTTGCCTACCATGGCAAAATGGGCTCCAGTTTACAACTCAGCTGTTTGCCTCCCACCCTCGTCCCGTGGGCAAATCTCACTCCTTAAATTCGCTGTAATCACTCATGGAATTATCACTGCCTTTTTAGAGGGACAGTGAGACCTCTCTGGCTGAATCTCCCTATTTGGAGATTGAATCCCCAATCTTTGGGGGATCCCTGGAAAATTGGCAACCAAAGGGTCTGGCCTTTCCTTGCTTCTCTGGGCTTTGGTATTGTGCAGAGCAGGGGAGACTATGTGGTCAGAGCACAACACAGATTATTAGCCCAAATTAAAGTATTTATTTAACTATTTACACAGTTATGGGGCACACACACACACTGTAGGAGTAAGCACACACAGGCATAATTCAACAGGGGTTAAACACAATCCTCTTTCC